CCGATCCCGGTGCCGATCCCGGTGCCGATCCCGGTGCCGGTGCCGATCCCGGTGCCGATCCCGGTGCCGGTGCCGATCCCGGTGCCGATCCCGGTGCCGGTGCCGATCCCGGTGCCGATCCCGGTGCCGATCCCGGTGCCGCGGTCCCGGCTGCGTGTGCGGAGCCCACCCCAGGTACGAGACAGCTGGTAGGGACTGAGTGGGAGCCGCCCCCGAGCAGGGAGCGACAGGAAAAGGAAACTTCAGTGCGGCTGAAGAATAGAAACCGAAAGCGCTCTCGAAGGGAAACGCTGCTTTCCGCTTGCGTCTGTCCGTAGCAAAAGAAAAAGTGGACCGTCGCCCCGAGCCCAGCTAATCATATGCCCATGCATACGGCTGTAAAGGCTGTAATCAGCCCGTTTGTGCGGCTGCCAGGGTGAGAAAAAGCACAGAGAAGAAATAGGAGTAAACGCATCATCCTATCTTCTCTTCCCTCTTGTCCCCAGAAAAATCTGAACGAGCTTTTATAGGCTGTATCCTGGGTTTTTTTAAAAAAATATAGAAACACTTCTAAAAGCTTTTAGGAAACGAATTAGGCAGGTGGACATCAAACGAGGAGGCTTACCGGAGGGGCAGTCCTGTTACAGGGCAGAAAGCCCCCGCAGTGGGAAGTGCTGCTAAACGTGACAACTCCTGACGCAAACCTCTCCCCTCACCGTGTGCATGTGCCATTCTGAAACAGACTGACAGGTACTGGCTCAGCACAAGATTCCTGCTTTCTAAAGCCTGCCAACACAAGAGCTTGTCCTGTCCCCGGTGGTGGACAGGGGATAGCAGGGGCGGAAGGAAGGGCATTGAGGAAGGCACTGACATTTCATTTTCTACTCTTCTCTAGTCCACTTTTACGCTCAAGTATTTAATATCCTTCTGTTCCTTTTTCTGAAGTCTTCTGTCTATTGGAAGAGTGATTGAGCCTTGGAATAGGCTGCCCAGGGAAGTGGTGGAATCACCATCCCTGGTGACCCACCCCTGAAGGTGTTTAAGAAAAGACTGGGTGTGGCACTTAGAGCCATGGTGTGGTTGACAAGGTGGTCAGAGGCTGGACTCAATCACGTCTAAAGTCCTTTCCAAACGAATTTTTTCTGTGATTCTCTGTTTTCACAGTAAATAAAGAAAGTATTGTTCTTCTCAAAAGGCTGAAAAGGTCATTAGGGAGCTTTGCAAAAGCCTTCGGTGTGGTTTGTTGTGTAAACCTGATGCCAGACAGCGTGAGCCCGAGCAACATGTGGATTGCTGCAGTAGAGTGGACAAGGGGCAGCAGGACTTCCATGGGTAATTGCATTTTCATTCTCTAAGTCAAGAGGATTGTAATATATCCCAATTTAAAAAACACAGGCATTTCAGAGACCTTCTTTACATCATCATGCAAGAAAGCTGCTTGTGGATTGATGCCTCTGCTTAAGAACTAGATTGCCTCCGATTTCAGGAGTGGGTCTGCTGAGGGCATGGGGATCTGGCAGCAGGTAAGGTCCCTGGGGAAACCAGAGTGCTCGTTTCCCAGGATAGCTCTCTGCGAGCATCCTACCTCACTTCTCAGTGATCCTCCGTTCCTCACAATGTCCTTGATTGCAACGTGCACAGACTCCTGCTTCAGCTTTCCACGCCTAATGCTGAGCAAAGTACACAGCAGCAAGGGTTGCTGTGGCATTGAGACCCAAAGAAGCTGTTTGATGTCCGGAGAGTGTAATATTATATGTATGATGAGCAGTTAAGACACAGTAACTATGAACATCAGTACAAAACGATTAGATTTGCTAAATCCCTTGAGTTTTCCGTGGAAGACTTGAATTGACTGTACACTGGCCTGAGAAATGTGTTGATAAGTTATGCTCTATCTCCCTCTGTTGATCAAGATTTGCATCGCACTAGACTAAAAATCAGGAGAATGGCAGTCTTCTGAGAGTAGTTTTATTTCTGCGGAAGGAATCTGCGGTGATCTTTAAAACTGACCATTTCTGTAAGTTCCTCAATACTCATCCACCATACAGAGAATAAAAAATTAGAAAAAAAAAAATAAATGCAATTATTAAATTGTAAGTAGTGCCGTGTGAGACCAGATGGTAGGTTCTGTTGTAGCAGGAGAAATGCATAAAGTTAACAGCAGAAAAGGAGGGCTGCAATTCCTAATCCTTTCATTACTGCAGAATGCATTGGTATGCCTCAAAACAACATAAGGGGCTGGGCTGGTTGCTCACTGCAGTTGTCTCTCTTGCAAAATCCTCACAGGTCTCTGGCTCTAAACCAAAGGTCTGAAAGGTCTGTTACTTTTGAATAAACACTGCCATTCTCATTCCTTGGTGACTCCTCCATCTGATCCCATTGAGCCTTCCCTTGGGTTAACCTGTAAGAACAGCAAGTGTCTTTTCAAAGTAATGTTTTGCATGATATTTTATGTTTCTTGGGAAAAAACACCATTTCTGTTTAAAAATTTCTCCACATTAAAATGTTCTTTCTCTTTCCTGAAGACTTTTATATCCCATTCATGAAGACATGGGAAGACACCCTGCAGAGATCTCAGAAGACACTAAAATTATGCTAGAGTTTACTTTTACTCTTTGCAAAAGACAAGAAATAGAAGAAAAAACTATTTAAATTACCTTTGCCTGTTCTGTGTCAGGAACTCAGCACAGCACATAAGTAGCTTTGTAACACGGAAATTATCCTTGTGACATTCTTATCTTTGGCTTAAGGAAAATCTTCAAGATACTGTCTTCTTCAAGTCTTCAAGATACTACTACATTTGAAGTAGGCTTGAATCTCCTGTAGTGCTTTCAGCCTTCCCTTGTGAAATGAACATTAGTTTTTATTCTAGTGTCTTTTGTCTCAAGCACTTTGGGTCCTGATACAGTGAGACAGAAATGGCACCTGACCTCAAGAGCTGAACATAGAAAGAAACAGGAAAGAGCAGAGTGGGCTGACAATGCTCGTTAATGTTTTGTGTCTTACGAAGCAGACCTGGTGAGCGCTGCCAGCGGGGCTGTTCAGTGCTGTTCACTGATAAACCTTGCCCATCTGGGAGCTAAATTTATTTTTCACAAGACTTCTAAAGTGCCTTTGTCAACCAACATGTGTGACATTCCAGCCCTGGTTTTCAACTGCCATTTGGTATTCCACAGTCCTCTTCTTCAAAATATTGCAGGAGCTGTCGGCCCAAGAAAATTTTTTAAATCCTAGAAATTAGTGCAATGGAATGGTAAGAGGCATTTATGACTGACAGCAGTTGAAGATGCCCAAATCTTCATTATCTCAATTATTTTAGTGTCTAATTTTTTGTTAGAAGGCTGATAGAATACTGGAAAGCAAATCTTTGAAATAATCTTGCGTGTTCCCCTTTCAGTATTCAGCATACTCATGTCCCATAGGTAGCAAAATAGAATTATGTTCCACTGATTAATGTGCATTGAAGTCTTTACAGGTTTGACTGGCCAGAAGGACTTCCTCCCATATGAAGTAATGAATAGGAAATAGTAATAATTATCAACCAAGTCAAACATCATGAAACTTACCTGTGGCCTTAGCCAGAATGTAAAAATAGGTGTGTAATGCCTGCTGTGCAAAAGAGCAATGAAACAAACAATGTAGGACACACTGGGTGGGATTTGTTGCTAACCTCATCATTATCTGTCATGGACTTTAGATAGAGAATGCACTGTTCACTAATTTCTCAACATCATGTGTATGCACACAGTGGGACATGCATCCCAGTAAGTGCATTTTAGGAGAAGGTCTGCTGAAGAAAAATAAATACCACTTCTATCTGGTTCCACCTAGAAAAAACACATTAACAGGAATCACCCGTAACATTCCCATGTTACGAAATGTTCTTTTTTAATGAGAATTTGAATTACTGTAAAAGCCGTGAAATAGTTTCAGTCTAAGGACATGAGCCCATTAAGAAATATATCCCCTCTTACAGTGCAGACTGACAGACAGATGTGAAGAGGAACAGTCTGAACACTGTGTCCTGATGGATGCTCAATTTGTTAAGTAAATCCTGGTACACAGGTTGTCACCTCTCAGTCTGGTGTCCCTTTGGCACAGTATTGTGCACATAGGTGCCTTGAGGCTGAGTTTCTGGCACATCAAGTGTTTCCATGATATTGAAGCCCACCTGCACCCTCGCAAATTCTTGGTTCCTCCACACCACAGGAGGAACTGATATCGGTTTATCAGCTGATAAACACAGACTTCAGGTGCATTGCAGTGCCACAGCATGCAGCCACAGCTGGAGTAATGTACAGCATGGCTTTGTTTGCACCAAATTGTTGTTCACATGATAATCCAGTTAGATTCAGGGGTAAAAGATGCTGCTGTGGAAGTCAGTGGGAGCTCTACCCTTCTCAAGCACAGCAACATTCACATAGTAGGACTGTTCATGTCAGTATGTTTGTCTGTGTGTATCAACATAACAGTGTCTGATTGACCCTCCTTTGGCTTCATCTTTGGGTGAATGAATGAATGAATGAATGAATGAATGAATGAATGCATGCAAAATGCTTAAACTGAGCATGCATGCTAAATGTTTACTCAAAAGTTCCGTTAAAATGGTCCAATTTGAACTCCCCTGATGCAGCTTCATTTTCTTTCCTCAGGTCCTATTGCTGGTTGCCAGAGAGAGATCAACACTTGCCCCTCTGCTGTCCCCCTTGAGGAAGGTGTAAACTGTGATGGCATCACCCCTCAGCCTTCTCCTCTCAAACCAAGTGACCTCAGCCTCTCCTCCTAAGTCTTTTAATTCCTTTGCCACTGGCCTAAGCACAGGGTGACTCACATGGATGTCACGAGTCCTTTAACCCCTCAGGTTTATCCTCTCAGGCTATGTTTCCACTAGTGCAACATCACTGACCTCAGTGGATGTATCCCTGACCTGGAATTAAGTAGCAAGTAGAGAAGAAATCCTAAAATCCCTCCACAATGACCAGTTCTGTGGTGCCCTGCCCTGAG